AATTAAAGCGCTTGCAGCTTCAAGTGTATTCAGCATCCCATGCTTGAAAATGGCAGTGGGGGTGCTTTAATTAAAGCTCAGTCAATGAGCTTTAGTTAAAGCACCCCCACCGCCATTTTGAAGCACAGGGATGCTGAATACATATAATGCAGAGGTTGCTGGAGCATGCTAATTAGCACACTCCAGGAGATTTGATTAATCAGGTCTGCTCCAATGTGTGCTAATTAGCAGGTGTTGGAGCAGATGTCCAGCATGTGTGTAGGTGCCCCTAGTGTCTAATTTCTCAGACTTTCTTTTTCAATAGTAGTTGGATGTTTTGTAATGCAGACAAGTAATTATCTTCACTCAGAGGTTGGTTCAGATATCATTAAATGTCAAGCTGGCAAGGTACACTTAGAAAATTACATGAAAGAAAGATACACTTTGAAAAAAGCACAACCTTTCTCAGGCTATTGGAAAACAGATTTTTTCCAAATGCTATACCTTAACTTTGCTCCTGTGCACTAAATTCTCTCACATATTTCTGTTCCATTTTCTTTTCTCTTTTAATCTATTCATGCAGTTTTATTTGCTACCATGGTTTGATAAAATTAAGATACCTCTTTTGATTGTAGGAAATTGAAAAAGCCTACCAAATCATCAGGCAAGAGGGGTCTAATTTAAATCCTGATCTTGGAGAATTGGTCCCAGTTACTTTATATCCTAGACAAAAAGAAGTAATTTTCAAAGAAAATGAAGATGAAGAAAAATGTTGCAAAAATTACAAAAGAAAAGTGCTACTAACCACAAGTTTTGGAGAATCTTTGGTTTGGATCAAGACTGCAACTTTTGTCATCGATGTTGGTGTGGAGAGAAGAAAGGTTTGTGAAAAAATTAAATCAGTAGATAGTCTGGCGACTACTTGATCAGTCCAGAAATTTAGAAGAAAGTGACTGATCTTCCATGACCCCATGCAGAAGTCACTGCTAAATCTGGGTCTCCCCCACATAGTGGGTATTCATCTTTATGTATACAATATATACAGTATACATCATACAACAGAGCATCGGAATTAGTCAGTACCACAAGATGGTTAATTTTTTAAGTGCCTATTCAGTATTTTGCTGTTGTGTTTTCCTTCCTGGAAGGACTGGTTCAGCAGCAAACTTGGATTTCTGACTCATGTTTCCAGAATGGATGTGGTGATGGTACTGAGGAGTATTAGAGTGAAGTGGGTGGATGGTAACTTGCTACATAATATACAAAGTTGTAGTATTGGAAGTCTGGTGACTGGCTGCTCATCTGTTTGGGTAGCTGGAAGAAGCAGGCTACAATCATGGACATTGGAAAGAGGATCAGAACAGGAGGAAATGGAAAGTAATTAAGTAATTAAATAACAAATAAGATGTGGTTGCCCAAAAAGAAATGTACATGTCCACTGGTGAATTCGGGGGGGGAGGGGAGAATGCAGTGGTGCAGTTGCACTACCTATCCTTTGAGTCCTAGACCATGCACAGTTTAAAACCAACTGCCTGGCAGTGGCAGCAACTTTTCTTTTCAAGCGGTGAGGGAGTCAATTGATTTAATGGATTATTATAATCTATCTGATTCCTTCTAAACTCTTCACTCCACAGGTATTAATGATGCCCTCTCCTTTTTAATGGGCTTTATATTTTGTTAATCAAGGCAGTCTTACTTCTGCAATTCTGATGTTTGTTAGGTGCTCCTGGTAGGCTAGGTCTTATCTCACAACTCTGCAGACTGGTTTTAACTCTAGCTAAAACAATAACTCAGGTGTGGAAATGTTAATTCAGGTGAATATTAACTCAGGTGTGGAAATGTTAATTCAGGTGAATATTAACTCAGGTGTGGAAATAACTTTCAGTAGGTACATATACGCATAAATTTAGTAAAATTAACATGATGCAATAAACTCTGGGCAGCTGCTCCTGGGTGCAGCATCTACATGTGCATCTGGGACAGCAGCAGTTTGAGCTGAAGAAGAGTAGGCCAGAGCTGGCAGCAGGCTTGCAGGGTCAGTCCCAGGCTCTGGGTGGTGGTATCAGGCGGTGGAGGGCCTGGCTGGAGCACAAGAGTGCTAAAGTAAAGAGCTGTGCAGCAGGCAGCCCCCACATTTTAGCACCCACATGCCCCAGCCAGCCCCTATCACCAAGCGTTTTATCACACTTATTTACTCTGCTGTAAGATAGTACTATCCCTGACCATGAATGCTGCATGGAATAATATAGCCCTAGGCTCCTAGCATATTAGTATATCCTCTAGTTTCTTTTTAACTGGACAAAAATGTGTTGTATTATATCTGATATCACAACATCTACATCTTCCTTTTCAAAATCCTAGATCCACCCATGAACATTTCATGGTAGCTATGCGACATCAGCCTCTTTCTTTGATAAAACTGAGAGGGACCAGTTGTTAGCAAAACAAGGGGGTGATAATGCTCGTGTACCACTTTTTCTGTGTACACTTTATGCACCAAACTGATTACTTTCAGTGAAACAAAGGCCCAATTTTTTGACAAAACAACACATTATTATCTTACAATTTTGTAGCTCCAGCACTGAAAGAAGCAGAAAAATAGTCCACTGCTCTTACAGTGCTTTTCCATAGGTGGAATGAGGCTACATTCTTTGCTTTAGAAAGGTGCATTGTCTTCAGGAAATGACTTGGAGACCTTTATCAAAACTACATATAATTTGACTGTGCCTTGTCAATTTATCAAAGAAAGGTGGTTCTTACTTCATGACAGGTGAAACAACAGATTGTGTGCAAAGGGAACTAAGCATTTTATGAAAGCCAAACATTTAATGAAATTACCAAATAAATTACCAAATAAAAAAGCTTTGCAGAACCACTGGTATTTGCACAGTCTTCATTTTTCTGATACTTAATTTCTTTCTTTCCATTTAAAGGTTCATAATCCTAGAATCAGAGCAGACTCTATAATAATGCAGCCCATCAGTAAAAGCCAAGCAGAGATGCGCAAGCAAATTCTGGGCACGTCTTCATCAGGTAGGTTTATTGGCACAAAATGAAATGATGAAATGCATATATGCAATCAAAAAGTGTGATCATTTTCTGAACTCCCTTCAGGAAAGTTATTCTGCTTGTACCCTGAAGAATTTACATACAAGGAAATGAAACTACACTCGCAAGCCAAAATACAGGAATCCAATCTAACTAGCATGGTTCTTTTTCTGAAGAGGATGGCTATAGCAGGCTTGGGCCATTGTGACTTCATAAATAGGCCAGGTATTGCTCAATATTGGAGTTTTCCATCTGTCTTATTACATTTGCTGTTATGTTTTCTTTTAAGATTAATTTTATTTTTCACCGTTATTCACACTGCTGGTTTTAACAAATATGGGTTCCCCATCTCTTCTATTGAATTTTGTGGAGCAATTTACCTTTGATAATGAAAACTTTGCTGAGTGTAATAGTTTCATTTATAAAAATGGTTGCAAGTGGTGGATTGCTTGCTCTGAGAAGGAAAGGAAAAAATCCAAGGGAAAGAAAATGAATTGTATAGCCAAAATCAGTATTCAAAACACATCCTCTCATTTAGGTTCATTTTTTTTTGGTGCCACAGAAGTGATTAGAGGCCCTGACAAAAGCTGAAGTTCTCTGTATAAGGTGTATATGCATTGTGCATATGCATAGCAAGAGATGTTTCTTCACTCAGGGAGAGGGCAATGTAAAACAGAAAGTAGGCAGAAGCTTATCGGTAGGTAAGCTTGTGAGTGGACAGGTTTGTCCTCACTTCTTACATTTAAGAGGACAGTTACCTTAACGTTGATGTAAATCTTTATATAAGAAAAATATGATACTAAAACCAAAAAATGACTTTTAACCTTAAGAGGGACCTCAAACCACACTTCCAACACTGAATATAATGCTTCCAATTCTGTTCTGTTCTTCCATTCAGTTTTTCCCACCTTACATAATATATGGGCTCTACTATTTTAAGGGGATTATTAAAAATGATCATGTTATCTACAGAAAAACACTAGAAGAACCTACTCCTGATAACCTTTTAACATGTTTAGTCAATTTGCCTCTACTGATAAATCTTTCTTCACTACTGGCTAGGGTAATAGAGAAAGGATTTTTTTCCTTTAGTTTTACATGAAAACAAACTAGCTGTAGAAAGAAGCACGGGATAACAGTGTGGAGTGTTTAGCTCTATTGCATTTGTCCTTTCATAGTTAATACAGTTTAGATAGATAGCAGAATAGCACCATTGCCCTCATCATATGAAAGGACCTCTTTTTGATAGCCCTTTCCTTGTACCAGCTCAGTTGTGCTATAGACAAATGAACAATGAAATTGCAAGTTTTAATACCAATGTTCACTACCCTGATGTACCAAAGATATCCCTGCATGTTTTAATTCTCACTAGAACTAGAGCAAGAAGAGAGTTTTTGGATGTGAACCCAAACAAGGTTTGGGTTAGAATATGAAATTTAGGCTGTGAGACACTGCAATTCCATCAATTGTTCTTAGGGATGCTCAGCAAACAGTGAAAATATTACCACTTCACAACTGTAATCTAATTTCTTGAATGAAATTCTCCCTATGTGAGATGATCAGCCTCTTGACTCTGTAAATTTGCTCTATGTTATCCTTTTTTTTTAAATCAGAGTCTTTTATATAAATCTCCTGAGCTGTGCTCTAAGGAAGGTAGCCATTCCCTTGATTAATCTGTTTCTGGATGTTTATCTTTATTGGTTATACTAGAGATTTTATTTAACCTCCTTTTCTGTCTTGTAGTTGGAGGCTAAATACAGTTTCCTTGTATATACAACAGATTTTGTAATACTGACTTCTCTCAATGCTGGACTCCTATGTACTCCTAACTCTGATCCAAAACCAGTTTAAATTGGTAGGAGTCTTTCAGTTGACTTCAACAGATTTTGGATCTAGTCCTCTGTTACTAGGTACTTCCTTGCTAATTTCCCAGCATAAGAGAGGAAGGCTTTTGTCCTTACCATAAATGTATGTATTCATAACAGTAATCAATTAGACTTGCATCTTTTTTTCACAATGCTGAATCCATAGGATAGAGGTAAATTCCTCAGTGCTGCAGTAAGGAGCACAAAGAGTTTGTCTCCCCCAGGAAGTGATAGTAGACTAGGGCTGTCCAATTTCTATGCAGGTAGAGGCTGCATGCCATATGGGCCACACCAGTGGGGGGCCACACTAGTGCAAGCCACAGAACCCTAGACCATACCACACCTGCACCATGCATGTGGGCAGCTTCCTTGTGCCACTGCTGCACCATGCTGTAGGCTCCTCCAGCCCTGGGGTAGGAGGAGCAGGAAGTGAAAGTTGATGGGAGTGGAGCCTAGATACCCCAGTTACAGCAGCCCCTGGAGAGATAAGCAGGGTAGTGGCTAGGTAGGAGCCTGGGAGCCATTCATTAATCCCTTGCAGGTTGCATGTGGCTCCAGGGATGTTAGTTGGACATTCCTATGGTAGATTAAAACCTCACACAGTTTGAATACCAACACATGCCACTTTGGCAAGAAGATAGAAGTGTCCAACCAGACACTTGAAGCAGGATGGAACTTCAGTAGCAGCATGAAAGAGCAGGGCCAGTTTGGTTAGTAGCTAAGGTGATATAGATGAGAAGCATGAAGCTCATGGCCACTGTGGTAACTCTTCTGACATTCAATCCAAGGGAGCTTTATCTTAAGAGAAAGTCATGTGAAATACATCTGGAAGTTAAAAAAGAATTTTACTAAAAGAAAAAAATTCTAAAATATAAAGAGTGTTTACTGAACACGAAAGAAGTTGTTCTTGCACTACAGGTGGGATGAATAGAGTAATATTGGAGAAATGGCTTGGTACTGCTAGACATTGTATAAAAGAGACATTATAGAATGGAAATGATACTAAAGATTAACAAAATGCTAGAGGCATTTTTAGTTAGGCCAAGTTTCTCACAAGTTCTATAAAGAGGGAATATTGCTTATGTCTACAATACTCTGAAAGCTTTAGATGCTTTGGCTCACTTTGAGCAGATATCAAATCCAAGGCTGCAACTGCCTGCTCAACAAGTGACATACTTGAAACACTTGAGTTCAAACAAGTGTAAACTCCAGTGATAGAAAAGCTTGAGGGACTGGGAGAAGCAGGGTAAAACATGGGAGAGGTTGTATAATAAAACTGGCATAACAGAGATGAAAAAGGTTGTACATTTCTAACCTTCCCTTGTCCTAATATCCTATGATGCTTAACTTTTGTTGATGTGTTGCTGTTTAGTTCGTTGAGCACAGGATTTCCCAAATATTTCATAGCATTGACTATGAGTTAATGTATGTTTTCCTGGATATTTCCGATCACAATTTTGCAGCCAATCTCCCTATGGCAAGTCTCCATAGACCATCAGTAAGCTATGAAACTATTGGGCTATGCTCAGCTTGAAAGTTTATGGCTTAAAATTCTCTTTGGTCAAAGAACTAGAACAACTATTTCAAACACATTTTTGTTTGTGCCAACTACCACAGTAGAACATTTTCACGGAGCCTGCTTAGATAGCTGCAAGAACTGCATCAGCCTGAAACTTCACGTTAAGTGTAGATACCATTCACCTAGAGACCAAGTTTCAGTTTCTTACTCCCTGTGAACATCATAAAGATGACTTCAGAATCTTCCAGCTCCCCATGAAACTCTATGGGAGTTGGAGATGCACAGCATCTTGCCAGACTGGGCTCTTTGCTAGAAAATATATAGGCATTATATTCAGAGTAATGCATGGTACAGTGTGTGCTCAATGTCTGTTGAGGTGTGTAAATTGACAAAGCAGCTTTCTGGGGGCATGGGAGGTGGCAGGGAATTGTAGGGGGAAAAGACATGGGGGTACTCTTACAAATTAAGGCCATTAAATGACCAAAATTAAAAACTGCTCACAAATGAACATACTGCTACTGAAAATAGAATTCAGTTGCTCCATAACTGCCTTGAGCGTTCTGTGTTAGAGCCTGAATATGCCCATAAACTCTGCCAAGCTTTTTGGGTTTAATTCTTCTTTGAATGGGGATGGTGGAAGGTGGGGGGAGAAAAAAAAATGGTATCTCCAAAATATTATTCTCTTGCAACACCATAATGAGATGCTGCAGAGTAAATTGTGTAGCTCTGTGATCTTCCCTCTCCTCACACAAGAAATTACATTTTTAAAATGTCAGTGTTGCTAACTATCACCAGCTGGAAGCTGAGTTGACACCTTGCAGAAATGAGCAGAGCAATTCACACCTCTCACAGCTATTGTTCCAGGCTTTCTGAAGAGTCATCTCTGTATCAGCTATGCTCAGTTCACAGTTTTGAGATTTTCTTCGTAACCTGAACTGCTAGAGACTATTTTTTAATTTATTTTAAAGCTGAATACATGGAGCAAATAGTTTCAGGGATTTATCATTACAGTATATGGACATGAGCTGGCTTTTTCCAAGCCATGGAAGGTAGATAAGAAAGTCTGCCCTCCACTGAAGTCTCTTATAAGCAAGCAAGATCTACAATATAGCAGGGAAGTGTTTCAGTCCATGAGAAACAATTGGCCAGATATTACTTAGACAAAGAAAGGAATATAATTAGAACAGTAACATTTTATTTCTTTTCACCAACAATACACACAAGTTTTTTGCTGTGCTTTGGGGAAAAATAAAAGTGTGGATTAACTGACTCATTACTACATTACAGAAGCAACAAACATGTCAGGCTTACAGCTGCTGCATTTAATTCATGTGATAATTGAAATGAGCAAATGCAGCAAACTTGTTACCCTTTTTAGAATTCATTAGCTTTATGAAAATGGATTTGGCATTATAGTTCTGAAGCGCTTTATTTGAATTCTTTAGCTTTCCTAATACTGATATCTTTTCCTTTTTATCTGTTAATCAGCTGGATCTTTAAAGCATTATATAATAGAACAAAAAAACCCTGTGTTCACATAGATTACAGAAGCGGATTTGTTCTTTTTTTAAATAATTGAAACATCCTTATTTGACCACAGCTAAAGGTTTTTAAATTTTAACGTTATACTCATTTTACATAAAACAATGGAAAAGGAGCAGCAGTTTGTGGATTTTAGTCATACAGGGGCTTGCGCAACCAATTTTCACGTTACAGCTGAGCATGGATGGGCAGAATTTCTGTAGTATAAAAGAGTTATACTCTCCTAACTTCCTATACATTAAGAATAAATTTCTAGAATTTAATATTAACACAGGCTGTACAAATGTACCTAATTTCAA